TTATTTTAATGTTTTATTTTGAAAGTAACTAAAGCTGCCAAATGTAATCGAGTAGAAAATACTGTAATTAGCTCATCGAGACAAGAACACAAACCATTTTCGAGTTCTTACATTGTTGTGAAGGAAAAAGGACATTTTCCAGATTGATCCTATTTGTGTTATGAGTGGAGTCATCACAGATAAATGTCCTGGAGCAGTGACGTGGACCCGGACTCACCGTGGACCAACATGTTCTTCAGTCTCTGGTTCTCGGCTGACACCTCAGCTTTCTCTCTCTCCAGCTCTTGAACCCTCGACCGCAGGAAGTGAAGCTCAGCAAACTGTGATGGTGTCAGAGTCCCCCCCCACTCCACCTTCACCACCTGCAGGACAGAGAGGGAACCAAGATCTAGAGATCCATTTGATTATCCAATCATTTCTGTTTGGTGACGTCACATTTACACACCGTTTATCATATATGTGATTAGAATATGTACACAGCAGCTGTTTATTTAATTATAGTATTTGGGTTTTTGTAACATGTATAGAATATGTAGAGTTGTTATATCATGTAACGTGTACTTTATTGTCTATGTTCAGTTTACACAATATAATATATAAAGCATCTTGACACAGAGGATCTCACCGTCCCGGTGTGTGTCCCGGTGTGGGTCCCGGTGTGTGTCCCGGTGTGGGTCCCGGTGTGTGTCCCGGTGTGGGTCCCGGTGTGTGTCCCGGTGCGGGTCCCGGTGTGTGTCCCGGTGTGTGTCCCGGTGTGTGTCCCTTGCAGGACGCTGATGTCCGTCATTACAAACCGGAAACAGTTATAATCTGAAATGTTTCGATTTTCCAGTCCAGAAAAAAAGCACAAAGAAAAATACAAGTTTATTAAAATTCATAAATACCTCCACTTCCGGTGCCGATCCGTTACGTCATTCCTGCGTGACCGCGCTGTAGTTCTGCGAAGTGACGTTGGTTCCTTGTGTCGGTGGTTTGTGTGCGCGCGGCGGGACTGCACTACCCAGAGTGCACCGCAGCTCACACACTGTAAACACGACAAGACGAAGTGACCAATGATCTGTGAGTTCTGTTCTATTTATCTACGTTCTACTGAGTTCTGTTCTATTTATCTACGTTCTACTGGGTTCTGTTCTATTTAT